CCTGTCCAAAAAAAAAAAAAAAAAGGAAAAAGACAATAGATTCATGTCTTCCAACTGTTGAAAAGTATGCTAAGGGGCTAGAGAGATGGCTCAGTGGTTAAGAGCACTGGCTGCTCTTCCAGAGGATTTGAGTTCAATTCCCAGCACCCACATGAAGGCTCAACATTGCCTGTAATTCTAGTTCCAAGAGTTCCTAGGCCCTCATGTATGCATACTCCCACATAAGATAACATACACAATTAAGAGATAATAAAAGTAAATATTTTAAAAAAGAAAAGTATGCTAAGAAACACATGGTTAATATGCAGCAATCAGAAACGCCACTATTCATACACCCACTTGGAGCTATAGCCTTCTCATTAAATACTCACAAGAGCCCAGAGAGTTGGATGTTACTATTCCCATTTTGCAGATGAGAAAACTCATACCCAGAGAGCTAACCTCCCTACATTCCCCCTAGGTAGATCTTTTTTTTTTTCTTTTGAGACAGGGTTTCTCTGTGTAGCTTTGCATCTTTCCTGGGTCTTGCTCTGTAGACCAGGCTAGCCTCCAACTCACAAAGATCTGCCTGCCTCTGCCTCCCGAGTGCTGGGATTAAAGGCGTGCGCCACCACCTCCTGGTTTCATTTTCTCTTCTTGACGCTCCCTCTGTGGACACTTCGGAACCCTTCAGGAGAATCCTGAATACGGACCCCTTGAGAGCTCACCAGTGGCTTATGGGCACAAGAGCCTACAGTCAAGTTACTCATCCACTCACCATAGATCCGCTGCCACCAAATCATCAGAGCCGTGAATCCAATGAAAAAGAAGACACAGCCCATCACGGTCTTCCATTCATTGGAGCGACGGTTCATCTCTGCGAAGGTTTCTTGGAACTGGAGCCGGTACACTGGAGGCAGGCAGTGTGTGGAAGGGGACTCATGCAGATCCATGCCCAGGACCCTGGAGCCAGCTGTTGACCCCTGAAACCCTGGGCTGCCCCTTCCTGCACCATAGGCTGTTCACTCAGCCTCTGTGTTGTAGAATATTATTTTCACTGGGCAAAGATGTGTTACATTTGTTCATGTTGCAGAATCTTACTTTAACTGTGGAAAGGTGGGTTGCTTCTGTTTATGCTGCATTTGTTTAATTATGCAAAAATATGCTGCATCTGTTTCACCTTGCCTGCCTACGACGCCTGGTTGGTCTAATAAAAAGCTGAATGGCCAATAGCTAGGCAGAAGAAAGGATAGGTGGGGCTGGCAGGCAGAGAGAATAAATAAATAAATCTAGGCTCGAGAAAGAAGAAAAAAATGAACGAGAGAAGGAAGAGGAGAGAATGAGAGAGACACCCTGAGCCAGAAGCCAGGCAGACACCAGTCAGCCAGACAAGAGAAAGTAAGATATACAGATGTAAGAAAGGTAAAAAGCCCCAAGGCAAAAGGTAGATAAAGAGAAACAGGATAATTTAAGTTAAAAGAGCTAGCCAGAAACCTGCCTGAGCTAGGCCAAGCATTCAAAACTAATGATAAGTCTCTGTGTCATGATTTGAGGGCTGGTTTGTGGCCTAAGAGAAAAAGCCTGGTACACCTACCTCTGCGTGTGCATGACATACATGTGTGTGAGTGTGAAGGCTAGAAATCACCATCCGGTGTCTCCCTTGATTTCATTCTACCTTGCGTTTTGAGGGATCTCTCACTGACCCTGAGGCTCACTGATTGGTCTCTACTAGCTGGCCAGGGAGCTCCTCCTGTCTTGGCCTCCCCAGGACTGGGGCTACAGGCAAATGCTGCTAAAGCCGGCCTTGTTCTGAACTCAGGTTCTCTCACTTGCATGGCAGGTTCTTCACTGAGCCATCTCCATCTCCCCAGTACACCAGCCCATTCTTGTTTGCTTGTGTGTTTTGAGCGAGGATCCCACTCTGCTGTCCTGCCTGCTTCCCGAATGCTGCACCCCATAGGCTGCTCAAGCAGCAGACTCTTAAGCACGTACTGCATAAGAAAGCATGGTAACTGTACACAGCGGCTCTTACCCTCCTGGAACTTAGGAGGGGAGGGACCAAATGTTTCAGAAAACATGTCAGGGGTGGGCGTGGGGGAGCTGCCTTCACTAGGGAGACTGAGAAGGCCTCTCTGAGGAGAGGAGACCTAGGGACCCAGGTTTAGGAACTCAAACAGAGAAAGCCAAGTTGAGATGAAAACAAACTCAGCATGGTGTGGTGGCTCGCACCTTCGGTCCAACACTGCTGAAGTAGAGGCCGCAAATCTCAGGGCATTCAAGGTCAGCCTTGGCTGTCTGTTGGATTCCAGGACAGCCAAGCTACATACATGAAACCCTTTGTCCCCAAAATTAAAATAAGGCTGGGCTGTGGTGGCCCACGCCTTTAATCCCAGCATTCGGGAGGCAGAGGCAGGCGGATCTCTGCGAGTTCGAGGCTAGCCTGGTCTACAAAGCGAGTTCCAGGAAAGGCACAAAGCTACACAGAGCAACTCTGTCTCAAAAAACAAAACCAAAAAAACAAAAAAAAAAAGAAAGAAAGAAAGAAAAGAAAAGGAAAAAAAACTAAAACATAAATAAAATCTATTAATTAAATTAAATGGCCCAAGACAGGAACAGATGGGGAAGGGGCGAGGTAGGGCAGTATGGCTGAGGAGGTAGTGTCAGGAGGCAGATCCCACAGGACCTGGCTAGCCCCAGGGAAGGTGGATTTGGGTCCATTCTAACAGAATAGGGATGGCGGACTTCTGACAGAGAAGGACAAAAACAAGCTTTTATGTGGCACTTTTTTATCAGGACTTGCCTGCCCTCCCTCCTCCCACTGAGAACTTTATCATCTGCTCTGTAGCGCTCACCTTCGCCAAGCCTCAGAAGAACAAGGGCTCCGGTCATCAAAGCAGCCCAGCCCCTAGACCGCTGGCTGTACGCAGAGGCTCTGTTTTCTATCGTTATGTATTTAAAACGATAAAACATTGATTTATTTTGGGAAAGCATCTCACTACACAGACTAGGCTGTCCTTGAACCCACAATCCTCCTGCCTCAGCCATTCCCAGGGCTGGTATTACAGATATATGTCGCCATGCCAGCTTAAACTTTTTTTTTTTTTTTGAGGCTTTTGGTTTTTGGAGACAGGGTTTCTCTGTGTATCCTTGGTTGTGCTATAACTCACTCTGTAGACCAGGCTGGCCTTGAACTCACAGAGTTTCACCTGCCTCTGCCTCCCAAGCGCTGGGATTAAAGGCTTGCGCCACCACCGCCCAGCTTTCATGCCAGCTTAAAGCTATATTTTTGCTTAAGTTGTGTGCCTTCTAGTAATTATCAAAATATAGCCACAGCTAGATGCCTACCTAGGCTCTGGCATGGCTATCAGGAGATGTGTGGACCAGGCCCGTGGCCCACTACCCAGCATGATGCCTAAGCTCAGATCGAGTCATAGACTGAAAAGTCAGTAGAGGTGACAGGGAATGTCTGTGTGCCAAGGACCTGGTCTCAGGAGGACTTCGGGAAGGATGCTGACCTTCCTTCCTTCCTTCCTTCCTTCCTTCCTTCCTTCCTTCCTCCCTCCCTCCCTCCCTCCCTCCCTCCCTCCCTCCCTCCCTCCCTCCACTTTGTCCTCTTTTTTTCCTGCTTGCTTCCCCCCTTTTCTTTCTACCTTTCTGCCTTCCCTGCCTCTCCCTTCTTGTAGCCCTTTAAGAGCGTCGCCTGTGTGAACAATGCGTCTCTGTACCTTAAATAGCTCCGAAATGGTGTGTGAAGGAAAATGCGTGCTGGCCTGGGTGCCTGGGCAGGACCGTCTGGGGTTGGGCAGTTTGGCTGCCGCAGTGAATCTCCAACCAGGCAGGAGCAGAGAGAAGGAAGGAGGTGGGGTGAAGGTGAGGGAGGGGGGACCCAGTGGCTGCTGGGAGCACTGGCGCCCTCCTCTAGCTCACCAACCCTCCCAGAGTATGTGGTGTGGCAGTGGTGTGGTCCTGGTGCCTTCTGTGTGGGTCCGAGTCCCGACCGATATCTAGTGACTCTAAGTCATGTGGCCTGGCCAGTGACTTCATCTCCCTGAGTTTCAGTTTCCTATGACTGTGGGACCAGCTGCCAGGTAGTTAATGGTGGGTACAGGGACTAACTTAATATGGTGACATTTGGGTACAGAAGGAAAGAGTGGCCTTCCCTTTCTGATATAGAGGGGAGATGGGTGGAATCAATAGAAGGGAAAGGAGGGAGGAGAAGAGAGGAGAGGGAGATGGGGGAGGGAGGTGAGGGATGTGGGAGAAAGGAAAAGGAGCCAGGCAGAGCATTAAGCATGTAGGTTTAGAGGGCCAGGATGCAGCCTGGCTTGTTCCCACCCAGGCCGGGGCCTGCCTTTGTAGTCGATGCCAGTGAGATGCCGAGTGAGGAAAGAAAGAGTGGGCGAGCAGTGTGAGCTTCTGCCCCCCAGTACCCCCTGAAGTAAGAGACCTCCTGACCCCAGCTGTGAAAGGAGGCAAAGAGGCTCCAGAGAGCCCGGGTCAGCGGAGGGCCACACGGCTCACCCCCCTTCTTCCCTACTTCCCTCTGCCCCACTTGGTGACATAAAGACCCTGCACACCTGCTCCTGGGACACCCTTCTCCATGTCACTCTTAGTCTTCCCCAGACAGACCTCCTGGAGACCCCCCCTTGTCTTTTGGGTCTGCGGCCCCTGGGACACATCCCACCCTGGCCACACACCCCGGCTCTCAGTGTCCGATCAGTCCAGGTGATTCTCCTCATGTCCCCAGGGTCACTAGCTCCAGACATGGGGGTTCGGTGGATAAAGGGTGAGCTGAACTCCACCCCCACCTCCCACCCCACCCCCCTGTGCCTTCCCCTTCCGTCCTGCCAGACCGCCTGCCCGGCCCAGTACTTACAGGCCACCTTCTCTGCTTGGCTCAGCTGGGCCCAGCTGCTCTTCTCTCTCTCCTTCAGGGCCCTCTGCTCCTCGCTGAGCTCGGTGCAGAAGGGTTCGTCTGGCATGGGGTAGGAGCGCTGGGCATAGCAGTCAACATAGGGACTCAGCCTCCGCTGACCGCCGGCTGTGGGGACAAGGGAGGAAGCTGAGTCCCGCGGCCCCGGAACCGCCGATCTCTGACCACGACAGTCCCTGCTCACTGTGTGTCGGCTGAAGGCTTTCAGGTGAGTTGGCTCATGGGCCACATGTCGCTCGGAGCCAGATGTGGTCATCTCCATTTGACAGATGAACACACTGAGCCTTCAAGCCAGGAGCACGGTCAGGAACGCAGGTCACCACCTCTCGGCTGCAAACCCTGTGTTCTCTGGGAAGGTCTAAGCCTGAGTGGAGGTCCAGTAAGGCAAAGGCTAGAGGTGAGGAGGGGCTTGAGGAGGGAACTGAGATCCAAGCAAAACTGCCATGCAAACTATAAAGCACCCTGTGCGTGCATGTCTTTACGCATGCTTCATGGGGCCTCGGAGGCAGCTGGGGTTGACTGCAGCTTGACATTCAACTCATACTGTGCACAGCTGCATCTGAACGGCCTCGTCTAGAAAGCATGGGTGATAGGTTGCCTCACACCTCAGTGGAAGCTTCCAGATAACACATCCAGAGGTCCTCTGGGGGAAGAAGCATTGAGAATGTATCTCAGTGGGTGGAGTGCTTGCCCAGTATGTAGAAAGCTTGGGATGTGAGAAGATCTGGGAAGAGCTGAGATCTTGATTCCCAGCACCACTGAGCTGGGGGGAGCATGCCTGTCTGCTCATCACTTGAGAGGACTTGGGAGGTCGAGGCAGGAGGATTAAGAATTCAAGGTTATCCTCGGCTACATAGCAAGTCCCAGGCCAGCCTGGTACATGAGAGCCTGTGTCCAAAAAATAAAATAAAGCAAGATGAAAGGAGAAGGCCTGAGCGATGACTCGGTGGGTAAAGACAGTTGTGGTTGGAGGGCCCGAGTCCAGTCCCTAGAGCCCACACACGGGTGGGAGGAGAGAAGATGCCACAAAGCTGTCCTCTGACCCCCAGAACCATGGTGTAGCATGACCCCCCCATACATCTTGCATACAAACAATAATAAATTTAAGTGACGCCTATACGTCATGTATACAAGCAATAATACATTTTTAAAACACCAAAGGCCTGGCACACGGCAGTGTTCAGTGATCCTAGGTCCAGAAAGGACGGTTTTCTTCCCGGCCTTCTTCCAGAGGCTTTCCTTGGTAACAGGGCCTCAACTTTGTGCAGATGGCCAGGTTGTCCTGAGCGTGATCAGAAAGTGAGGGTCTCCCTGCAGGCTCTCCTGTTTGTTGACACCAGAGGCAGAGAGCATCAGAGCAGTCCTAGTACTGAGTCTCTCTCTCTGCGGCTGTTTTTTTTTTTTTTTTTTTTTGTTTTTAAACAGTCTGTCCCTGTAGGCCGGTCTCTCACCCAGAGCTCTCCTGCCTCGCTCGGTCTTCCAAGAGCTGGGGTTGGAAACATGAACCGCCATGCCCAGCTTTGTTGTTGTTTTTTTGTTTGTTTGTGACAGGGAGTCAGCCTGCAGGCTGGTTTGGGATGTGTGTGTGGCAGCCCTCCACCTCAGCCTCCCGAGTTCCCGGATGGAGGTGTGAGCCACCGTCCGCGCGGGGCCTTGGGTGCTGCCCTGTCTCATATCTAGAACTCTGACGTCTAGTTGTTCATCTGAGAAGCAGAGCTAGCGCCGCCTCTAACTGTGGTTGCAAAATCTAAAGGGAAGTGATTAGCATAGTTGGGGGGGGGGGTCCCGGTAATGGATCAACAAATGTTATCTTTGACATTATTCGCCTGAGCGTCTGGAGATCCCTTCTGCTATCTGGCTGAAATCTCTCCTGCTTTAGACCTCTTCTTCTGACTAGTCCTGGCACCAGGTCTGGAAAGGAGAATTCAGGGTCCCCATCCTTGTAGCACCCTCCTTGGGGGTGCTACAGAGGGCTAAGGTGTGGGAGCTGGGCTCTAATGAAACCTGGAATGAAGGGGTCCTATTCTCTTCCTCGGTGGGCTCCAGTTTGCTGCTGGAGGAACATGGTCCAGGACCTAGGGGCAGGATCAGAGGAGGTGATGAGAGGCAGTTCACGGGGCTCTCTGCTGGAGTTCTGGAGCAGGGCTGGACCCTGGGTCTGAGCCTTACCAGTACTTCCTGGGCTGTGTGTCCCCCGAGTTCCGAGTCCTCCGGTCCTCATCAGCAGACTCCAGGCAGCTCTGGAAAGCATCTTTGGGGCGGGAGACAGGTGTGGTTCTGCACCGCGGGACTGGCTGGCTGGCCCTCAAGGCCAGATGCTGATTTGCTGGTGGGGTGGAGGTGACCCCTTTCCGCGTTGTCTAATACGTGGGAGGGGCTGGGGGCACTCCAGATCTTTAGGGCCCTCTTGGGTTCTCCATCGTTTGAGAAGTGGAAATTCAAGCCTCTGGATAAAGTCTGAAAAGTTTGGGACTCGGGCACGCAAGCTCGTATCAGCCAGGTTGGGAGCCCCACTAAACTGTCTGCCCCAGAGGAAAGTCCTGAGCCTCCTCCCTGCAGGGCAGTTGGCCCAGGTCTCAGAGCAGATGCTCGGGCGGCTTGCTCCAAGGTCTCCTTAATTGACTGCCTACGTGCGTTCTGCCTGCTCCGCTGCAGGAGGAGGGGGCAGGCTGAGCCCGGCCATCACTCGGACACGCAGGGTCTGGCATCCCAGCCGCTCTGGAGGCCAAGGACCAAACTAGGTCAGCGGGTGGGAGAGGCAGCAGCAGTCCTCTGGAAAGAGGAGACCCCACTTCGTGGGAAAGGGGCAATGCCCAGGACTAGGACCCCAGTGAGGGACCCCAGGAAGGGAGAGTTGTGCGGTGATGGGGCAAAGGCTCAGGGTGGCCACCACGAACACCCACCCACCCACACCCACCCCCGCGCGCGACCCTTCCCTCGGGCGGGACTCACCTTTCCAGGCGGAAGGCAGCAGACCGATCCAGAGCTGCCCCGCTGAGTGACTGGCAGGGAACCGCAGACGGGACCGAGGGGACCAGAGCGCGCCCCGCCTCCGCCCGCCACCCCCACGTGGGAACATCCCGCCTCTGTCGCTTGTGCTGGGCCACGTCCCCAGGGAGAAGAGGGAGGGCTGTAGCTGCCCGCCCTGTCTCCACCGGTGCGGGGACCTCTGCAGACCCCCGGCTGGCAGAGGAGCAGGAGGAGGTCCCTGCTACTTCAACTTTCTCCTGGTCATCCCACCAGGAATGCTCTCTGATTTTGTTTTGAGTGAGGGTTCCGTGTAGCCCAGGCTGGCCTGGAACTCACTACATAGCAGAGACTTGGCTACTTCCTGCCTCCATTGCCGGGGCTCTGGGGTTACAGGTGCGACTGCATTGTCTTGTCAGCCTTCCAGCCTCCTACTCCAAGCAGCCTTCAAGTACCATTGTGGGAGCTCCTTCCGGCCCTCTACCCCCCTCTACCCCGAGGGCGGTGAGGTTGGGGAGAGGGGAAAGCCTCCTTCAGCCGCAGGCTGCCAGCCGTCCCAGGATTCCAGAGGTGGAGGCAGGAGGACCACAAAGTTCAAGGACAGGCTTTGCTACAAACCCTGTCTCTAAGGAAAGAGAGATGAAGCCTCCCCTGGATTTCTCATCTGTGCTGTGTGACTCTCAACAATTGGCCTAGTGTCTCTGAGCTCCAGTCTTCTCTCCCATGAGAGAGATCTACAGTTAGTTCCCACCACATGTATTGTGCCTCTCTGGCTTCAGTACCAGAAAAAACCTCAGGAACATTTAATAAATAATTACCCATCGACCCAGCACTCCGGAGAAAGAGACAGACAACTCTATGAGCTGGAGGCCAGCCTGGTCTACATAGCTAGTTCCAGGCCAGCCAAGGCTACATACATAGTGAGGCACCACCTCAAAAACAAAAACAAACAGAATTATTATTTATTGATACTGTGCCAGTGAAGCAGTTTAATCCCAGCACTTGGGAAGCAGAGGCAGGTGGATCTCTGTGAGTTCGAGGACCGTCTGATCTACATAATTCCAGGACAGCCAGGGCTATGTAGAGAGACCCTGTTTCAAAAAGAGATAAATAAATAAATTTATTATTATTATTTGTGTGTGTGTGTGTGTGAGAGAGAGAGAGAGAGAGAGACAGACAGAGAGAGACAGACAGAGAGAGACAGACAGAGAGAGACAGAGAGAAGGGGGACATGCATATGCCATAGTGAGCAGGTGGAGGTCAGAGGGTAATTTTTTTCAGCAAATGTTTCTACCTGCTGATGGGTTCAAGGCCAACCTGAGCTACAAAGTCAGACCTCTCTTGCCAGTGGAGCTAGGTGTGGTGACAAATGCTTATAAGCCCAGCACTCAGAAGGCTGAGGCCGGAGAATCACATTGAGTTCAAGGCCAGCCTGGACTACCTTTGATTACCAGGCCAACAAGGGCTATATGGAAAAGTCCTGCCTCAAAAAAAAAAAAAAAGAAAAGAAAAAAAGAAAGAAAAAGAAAAAAAGGGGAGTGGGGAGTGGGGAGCAGGGAGATGTAGTTCAGATGAAAAATGCGTGCCCAAAGCAAAACGAAACATTTCTTTTTTCTTTTTCCTTCCTTCCTTCTTTCTTTTTCTTTTTTTCTTCTTTCTTTTTAAAGAAAAGAGTGTATTGAGACCCAGTGCACATTCATTACCAGTCTACAGTGACAAGACCAGACATAGTTCCTGCTCCTAAGGCTCACAGTCAAGTCCCAGGCTCCGGAACAACCTGTCAGAGCCCAGAGGCAGAAAGACCCAGGGTGTGTGGCAGACCAGAAGGAAGGCCAAGGCGTACAGGGAGGCACGCAGGAGGAGGGCTAGATGAGGGGAAGAGAGGGTTGAGGCACCGAGCCGGGGCCACACTGAGGATCTTGAATTTGTTCTAAAGAGGGGAAGAGGGCTCAGCGGTAAGTGCATGGCCAACATGTCCAAGGCCCTGTGTGTTCAATTTCCAGTACCCATAAAAAACAATGAGAAGCACCCAAAGGCCAGAAGTGAAGCGCTGCGGAAATGAGGAGATCATGGATTCGGTTAGGAAGGCAGAGGATTGTCAGGTGGCCGGGGGCCGTGGTTCTACAGTGAACTGGAGTCACGGCATCCTGTTTGTGTCCATGGGGAATGCCCATTCCCAGCTCACACACTAGAGTTCCAGTAGCCTGCCCGGGCCCGTTCACTGGAAGGAAGGGGCGTACTCCTCAAGGAAAGGCACGCTTGCAAGGGCAGACCTTCAAGACAAGATGCTGGAACTCACAGGGAGGATGCATATCACCTCCATTCTGCATCAGAGTAGCAGGGCCCGGGGGAAGGCAAATATGGGGTCCTGGGATTCTAATAGCCCCCTCCTCTGCCCAGTGCCAAAGGCAGGCCTTGCCGAGCTCTCTAGTGGTCACCCCTGGAAGCTGCCCTCCCCTTCCAACTAAGCTGACTCCAGATTTGAGAGACAGACACCAAAGGACTACTCTCCTTGAAGACTAACAAGGTGTGTTGTGGAGTAGCTCCCTGGAGACGCACCTTGCATCTTCAATGCCACAGCCCCGTCCCCCCACCCTACCGCACCCCGGTGCTCTGCACACACCCTCAATGATTGAACCCAGCGTCTTGCCAGCATCCCCAGCATGCCTTCCCAGATGGTGGGTGGCTGCCCTGGGAAGAGCCGCTTATGTTGTGGGCTCCGCTGCGGCCACACTGCGTGGGTGAGCAGTGGCACTTCTGGGTCTCAGTTTCCAGGCCCTCACGGGGCCTCCCAAGGGAAGGCTTATGGGGAACATGACCCTCTGTTCTTCCCTATCCCTTCCCACCAGGCTCTGTGGGAACTCCAGGCTCCCGATGTGGGGTGAGGCTGTGATGAGGAACATCTGTTTGGGAGCTCTGTCCAGGACTGAGGAAAAGAGTGAAGACAGGATCCTCATCCTCCTCCTCCTCCTCCTCCTCCGCCGCCGCCGCCACCGCCCAGCATGGTGGGTCTGGTGGCTCACTGTGCTTGGAGGACCATTGAAGACCATCATCCTCTATGGGTCTTGGACATGGGACAGACTCTCTGTCACTTGAGGAACCCTGGGCCTAGGAGTGAGTCTGCCCCTGAAGTCCCTGGTGAGACCGGTCCTCGTGGTGTCCTCCTGTAACCTGGGCACTCGGGGGTGGAGACAGTAGGAGAAGGGGTTAAAGGTCATCCTCGGTCACACAGCAAGTTCAAGGCCAGCCTGGGCTACAAGAGACTTCAAAGCAAAACAAAATCTGCGCTTGGCACCAGAGTAGGGAACAGTCCTTGTGGGTGTTGCACTCATGCCAGGGGCCCTAGGGCTGCACCTGTGGAGGAAGGGAGACATTTGTCCTTTTTCTGTGGGCACTAATTTTTGGTCTTGGGGACACCTATAGAAAGATGCAGCTAAGCCCAAAGTGGTGGCACACGCCTTTGATCCCAGCATTCCAGAGACAGAGGCAGGTGAAGCGCTGTGAGTTCAAGGCCAGCCTGGTCTACAAAGCAAGATCCACGAGAGGCACAGAGAAACCCTGTCTTAAAAACAAAACAAAAAAGATTTATTTATTGGGGCTGGAGAGATGGCTCAGCATTAAGAGCACTGGCTGCTCATCCAGAGGACCCAGGTTCCATTCCCAGCACCCACATGGCAGCTAACAATACACCCACATGTAACTCTAGGAACTGACACCCTCACACATACATGTAGGCAGAAACACTAATGCACATAAAATAAATAAATTTTTAAAAAAACAAACCAAGCCGGGTGGTGGCAGTACATGCCTTTAATCCTAGCACTTGGGAGACAGAGCCAGGTGGATCTCTGTGAGTTGGAGGCCAGCCTGGTCTACAGAGCGAGATCCAGGTCAGGCACCAAAACTACACAGAGAAACCCTGTGTTAAAAAACAAAACAACAACAAAAAAAAAATTTATTTTCAATTGCATGTGTGGGCTTATATGAGCGCAGGTGCCCAAGGAAGCCAGAGAGGGTGTCAGATCCCCTAGAGCTGGAGTTTCAGGTAGATGTGAACTGCCTGATATGCATGCTGAGAGTGTAATTCAGGTCCTCCACAAGAGCAGTAAGGCACATTCTCATCCATCTCCCTAGCACAGTTTCTACACTTTCTATTTCTTTGGTTTTTTTTTCTTTCTTTCCTTCTTTTTTTTCCCTATAGACCAGACTAGCCTTGAACTCATAGAGATCCGCCTGCCTCTGCCTCCCAAGTGCAGAGATTAAAGGTATATGCCACCACTCCCTGGCTGCTTTTCTTTTTTTAACTCTCTTGAAGTAGGAGCCTGTATTATTTATGTGAGACATTTCTTTCTCTTTTCCGTATAAGCATTTGATACTATAAAACTAAAACTGTTATATAAATTTTGATGTTGTTTTATGTAATTAATTCATTTTAAATTATTTTCTAATTTCTTTTT